GCAAGACCGTGTGACGTGATGCAAAACACACGAAGTCGGTCTCTGTTGTGCTCCTGGGTTAGGGTCAAAGGTGAAGCAAGGACACGAAAATCCTCTCTGCACACGCTCCGTGGGTGGTGGTCTCTTACCGGGAGAGAACGCTGGTCTGGACCTCGAGCTTGGTTTCTGATCAGACTGTAGGGAAAGGTGCCGGCCGCTGGCAGGGAGGGGTGTAATTAGGTGCGTGTGACCTCCCGCCCCGTCACGGCTGCGAGCTCAGTTTTGAGGTTTCTCTGGGGTCCCCTTGGCCGAGAGCGGGTCTGTTCAGCCAGCGGGGGCCCAGCATTTCATGTTAGTTCACAAATCACTGACAGACAGACCTCGTCACCTCTGTCCTGCCCTGGGAACACACTCGTGCTGGCCCCCAGGGAGCACACCGGCTGCGAGTGCTCCAGGAAGTGGCCGGTGACATGAGCTTAACAAGAGGCTTGTTTCTTTCTCACATTGGCCGCCGGGACCGCGCAGCTGCCCGGCAGACGGGGGGCCCAGGGTCCTTCATTCCCAGCACGGGACGTGGGGGCTTTCGCCTTGTGAGCTAAGAATAAAATCCTAAGCCCTCTGCTAAGGAACGGACCCCTCTAAGCCCAGGGGATCCCAGAAAAAAGCCTTAAATCTGCGTTCCCAGCCATGATAGGGCAGGAGGCATAAAGCGCAATTACACACTCAGGTTTTCTCCACGTACGTGTTCACGGCTCCTCCTGTAGCTCGTAACACGTGTGATTAGCCACCTTGCCCAGCATACAATGCTGTTCCCTTTTATCTCTCACTTGAAACACGAGTTCCTGGCTCGTGGCTGGAGCAGTGTTTCCCAGCCTACCAGAGTGGCCACTGCGAGCCTAGAAGCTTCACGAGAAATAAAGCTCTTCTTTTTCCAGAGTATAAACCTCATGTTTCTTTTTTTTTTTTAATTAACAACCTCAAGGCACAAAATGGCTGCTCAAGCCCCAGTCTTTGTAGCCACATTTCCACCATCAGACAAAATGAAGGACCAAAGAAGGGGGCTGCCCTCCCATTAAAAACACTCCCCTAAAACGGCTTCCTTCCATTCTTAGGCCAGAACATGGTCCCTGGGCCACACCTGCCCACAAGGGAGGGAGGTGGCAGTGTGTCTGCCTGAAATCCTCTGGGAGGAGAGGGGTGCGTCCCCCCTGCAAGGAGAGCACAGACGTCCCTGAAGCCTGGGGGCCAGGCCGGGGTGAAGGGGAGAGGGGCCTCTCCACAAACCACTTTCCAGTGTCCAGGACTGTCCTCCTGTCCAAGCCCCTCTCGGCTCACAGCCGCCCGGCCTGGGTCCCCACCTCCCTGCCCCTCGGCCGCGGGGCCTCCGGCAGCCTGGCCCCGGGCCCTGCTCTCCCCACATCCTCCTGTTCTCTCCTCCCCGGGCGCGTTTCCCACACCTGCGCCACCCTCGCGATGTTCATTCTGCCTCATGGTGCGCTGAGCCTCCCACCCAAAAGGACCCCGGGCCCCTCTACCCGGGACGCCAGTGGCTGAGCCTGTGGGAGCCTCCTGGGGGTCACGGCTCCCAGCTTCAGGGGGACCTCGGCCTGTCGCTCCTGAGGGTCCTTTCTGCCCGCAGAGGGCTCCCCAAGCCCGTGCTGGTGGGTTTAAAGTCGCACCTCTTTTGACTTTAATTTGCATTTCGCTGATGCCAGACATGTCGAGCGCCTTGGGGGGTGTCTACTGGATTAGTCAGGCATCTCACGGTCGGGCGTCTATTCTTTTGCCCATTTTTGCAGCTTGTTTGTCTTTTCATTATTGGTCTATCAGTGTTCTTTACGGAATCTGGACACAGCCCTTTGTCGGGTATATTGATTGCGAATATTTTTCTCCCGCTATGGAGTTTGCCTTTTCAATTTCTTAACAGCATCTTTCGAAGAGCAGAAGCTTTTACTTCTGGTGAGGATGGATTTATCTGTTTTTTCCTTTACGGTTTTGCCTTCTGTGCCCTGTCTAAACAACTTCTGCCTGCTCCCAGGTGGTGAAATATTGTGTTTTATCTAAAATCCATGAACACGTGAATTTTACGTTTTAAGCCTATGATCCTCTCAAGTTAATTTTCCTATGTGGTGTGATGAGGGACCCCGGTCTCTCTCTTTCGTCATTTAACGTCTGTTGCTCCAGCACCGTTTGTTCCAAAGAGCTTCCTTTTGCCCACGGCGCTCACTGGCACCTCTGTCAAAATCAGTGGACTGAGCACCGTGGATTTGGTCGTGAGCGCTCATTCTGTTCCACGGATCTCTTTGTCTCCTTCACAGACACCGGCGTCCTAAACGCTGCCGCTGCAAACCGAGTCTCGAAGTCACGCGGTGTGAGTCCTCCGACCTCGACCTTCCTGGGGATTCTCTTCCAGGGCCTTTGTGTTTCCACGTAACGTTTAGAATCAGCTTGTCGCGTCCAGAGCGACGCCTGCCTGCCGGGGCTCTGCTGAGAGCGCGCGAGCACACGCCATCCACCCTGAGGACGGCACATCTCGTTCATTTGGGTCTTTAGTTACCTCAGTCAACTTGTGGTTCTGAGTGTAGCCGTATTATACAGCTTCTGTCAAATTTATTTCAGCGGAGCTTGTTCCTGATGTTATTTTAAATGGTATTCTTCTCTGTCATTTCTCCAATTCTTTGTTGGTAACATATACAGACACAAGTGACACTCACATTATTGGTATTGTGTCCCGACCCTTGCTAAATTCGCTTATTAGTGATTGTAGTCTTTCATAGGTTCCACTGTGCACTAAAAATCTTGCACCCCCAGCTGACTGAATGGACCCCCTCTTGGCCAAGGGGACCCCAGAAATACCCTAAAGCTGAGTTGCTGGCCATGAGGGAGGTCAGACAGGCCTCATCATGCCCCCTCCCTTTTTGGAGAAGTCCTTTGTGACTCGTTAACTCATTAACGAGGACCTGCAAGACGGAGCTTAACCCACACCTGCAGGTCATCCAGTTATTTAACAGATCACCTGAGTCTGGGTGTGTTTCTCTGATTAAGAGACTTCCTTAACTTAAAACACTCCAAACCTTTAGACAAAGCTTCATTTCTTTAACCAATCACAAATCAAAGAAGCTTTCAACCCACCTGTAACCTGTAATCGGCTGCTTTGAGATATCCCACCTTCTCGGGTCAAACCAACCTACGCCTTCCATGTGTTGAATTCTGACTTTACCTGTAATTCCTGTATCCCTGAAATGTATAAAACCAACGATAGTGACCCATGGCGAGACCCCTTGCTCAAGGGTTCTTGGGCTTGGCTCTGGGCCATGGTCACGCATACTCAGCTCAGAATAAACCTCTTTAAATTATTTAACAGAGTTGGGTTCTCTTCTGTTGACAACAGGATTTTTTGTGTATAGAATCATATTGTTTGTCACTAAAAATCTATCAACATTAAAAGTTCTTATAATCTTGTACCTTAAAAATAAGCCCTCTCCAGACCCTGGGCCGTCCCCCGGGCACTGTCCCCACAGGGCAGCACTCTGGGCTGCAGGTGCGATGCTCAGCCTGACCTCCAGCCAGGGCTCTCCCCAGGCGTGTGTCTCGTGGTTGTGCATGTCCAAGACAGACGCAGGCCAGGTCTTGCCTGAGTGCCCCCGCGTGGGCATGGCCTCCCCAGCCAGCCTACTCCCCTGCAAAATCTGCGCCAGACCCTCAGCTGCTAGACAGTTTCCTCCCAACTCTCGGGCTTCTCCCCACCCTGTCCAGGCGGTTCACCCACAATACCAATAACGGGAATGTTTCTGGCATCACAGAGAGGCTCAGATGCAGCAGACATGCCCGCTCGGGCCTCCTGGGGAGGGGAGGGGAGCCCTGCCCAGGTAGTGGGGGCCGCCCCCTCCTGCTCTCACCTGGGCAGGTGCCAGGCTCACTCCCTTCCCTTCTGCTTCCTCTCCTTGCTCAGGTCTCAGCTCAACTGTCCCCTGCTTAGGGACACTCCCCACGCCACCACTTGGGGTCACAACCCCCTTCACAGGCTGCCAGGCTCTCAATTCTACCTTTGATGCCCTGTCTCCCAGGGGGCCCTTCCCGCCCCCAGGCAGGGGCAAATATCTATTGTT